GTTACGAGGTTTCCTAGGGGGGGGGGGGGCAATATTATAATAAGACCATTTCCATTAGCGCCACAGGCAACCGCCGTAGGCTTATTTTTTTTGGTTTCACGCCCCTTTTTGAGCATTTTAATGAACTTATATGATATTGATGTTTAGTTAAAAATGATGATATTTTTTTCCGCAATAAATTCACTGTCCGCATCATTTGTTAAGGTAATTTTCAAATGGCCGGTAATTATAAAACACTGAACCGATGATTGAGTTTCAACCTTTGGTTGACTCCATGCAAATTGATAGGATTCAACCGAAGGTTGAAACTCTACCATCGGTTCAGTGTTTAATAATACCAGCCCTAAAGTCAAGTGAAATTCAGTTCCGTTGTAATGTAATGAAAAAGTCAGCCAATTTTTCACAGCACAGCGTATTCATTGAAGGTTACTCAAATAGGTATTAGGTAATCACTAATCTTTCATCAAAATATATGTTTTATTAAAAATACCTACAGATACTATTGCACAAATCAAGTACTGTAAGTACAAATTACAAGTTTTACAAAAATAGGAACGAAAAACCTAATTTTTCCCAACGGGACAGTCTAACAAAAATAAAACTACAAAATTCTAGAACTGCATAGGCAAGAACAAAGGACAGGTGGTAGACGCTTTTTACTCATTGGGCGTCGACCGGTGAGATACCACCATGCCAGAATTGAGTAGCGCTAAGTGGTATCACCACGTTCCGCTACTGCGCTGGCAGTCCGGTTCCAACAATGAGTAACAGATAGCATGATGGCGCCTCCAGGATCAAAATATCCCGGAGGTAAAATACCCGACCACGCGGATCTCCGGGCGTCGGGTGATCCTGGGGGTCCTTCATGCAAAGATATAAAGAGAAGATCAAAAACTCAACTCAGAATTGATTTTAGCAATATAAGAGGAATAAGTACAAATATGAATTCAGTTCACCAACATCTTGAAGAACAAAGACCTGACATCCTTGTTCTCACTGAAACTAAAATCAGTTCTGCAACACCTATTGTGAACTATCTTTATCCCGGCTATGACCTACACCACCGATATCGACATAATTTTGGGATCTGTGTGTACATTAAAAATGACCTTTCATGTCATCGAGAGGAGAAGCTAGAACCAGCGAACCTTGATATCATATGGCTAAAATTCACCTCAAAGTCATCGACCAAGTTTATCTGCTGCCTCTACCGACCGCCATCTAACATCGAGTACCAAAACTTTTTCGCGACATTATCCGAAAGCTGTGATAGTATACAGTCAAACTATCCACAGGCGGAAATTGTCTTTTTAGGCGATTTCAACGTCCACAATATACCCTGGCTGAAACACCACAACAAAACAGAAAACGAAGGCAGAGAAGCAGAAGCTTTTGGCATAAGTTGTGGTCTAACGCAGCTTGTCGATGAACCTACCCGTATCTCAGAAAGGGGCGAATTTGCAGCGCTTTCAGACTTGTTCCTAACCACAAATCCTGACTCGTACACAATTCAAGTAGATGCTCCACTTGGTTCGTCCGATCATAAACTTATAATAACAAAGTGCGAAATGCTCATCCCACCAAGCCAACAACCACTTCCTCGTAAAATGTGGCACTATAAATCGGCAAAATGGAATGACCTAAAACAGTTTTACCTGGATTTTCCATGGCAAGAGGTTTGCTTTAAAACAGCTGATCCCACTATTTGCTGTAATGAAATAACACAAGTAATCTTATCTGGAATGGATGCATATATCCCACATTCAACTAAACGTAGAGCTAATGCAAAACCTTGGTTCAACAGCCAGTGTCAAACGGCTGTACAGAAAAAACACAGAGCATATAACCTTTGGAAACGACAACAAACCGCTCAAAACCACACAGAATTTATAGAAGCCAGAAATAGTTGCAAAATTACTATTGACTCCACTAAAGAAACATACAATCAAAGAATAAAAAACAGGTTGCTGAATTGTCCAAGTAGTTCTAGGTCCTTTTGGTCTCTTGCAAAAGCTGTTGGATCTAACTTCACCAAGTCATCCATACCACCACTTACAGATAAGAATAATCACTTAGCCACAACATCAGAGGAAAAAGCCAATATGCTGGCCCAAATGTTTTCCTCCAACTCCAACCTAACAGTGCCAAACGGAAAAACTCCACCGTTCATTGAAAGGGTTTCCCATAGTATGCCAGAGGTACCCTTTTGTCACAGAGAAATACGAAAATCCCTTAAAAAGCTAGATACAAACAAAGCAATGGGTCCGGATGGCATTCCCGCAATAGTACTCAAAAATTGCGCCAACGAACTCACCCCAACTTTCGCAAAATTATTCAATTTGTCTTACAGGCAAGGAGTATATCCATTATCATGGAAGTCTACCGCAGTACAACCCATTCCAAAGAAAGGAAAAAAGACAGATCCGTTAAACTATAGACCAATTGCTCTACTTCCGGTGATATCAAAAGTAAGGGAAAGAGTTGTGAACAATCACCTAACCAAGTACTTGGAAAAGTACAAAATTATCAACGATAAGCAATATGGATTTCGAAAATATAGGTCAACTGGCGATTTACTTACATACGTCACTCACTTATGGCAAAAAGCGATTGAGTTGCGGGGTGAAACAAGAACAATTACCTTAGATATATCTAAAGCATTCGACAAAGTTTGGCATGAAAATCTGCTCAACAAGCTCAAAGCAATGGGATTATCGCCGAAACTTTGCACTTGGTTTGAAAGTTACCTAAAGGACAGATCCATTTATGTTGCACTGGATGGCCAAAACTCCAACTCTTACCAAATAAATGCTGGTGTGCCACAGGGAGCAATCCTTCCGCCAACTCTTTTTCTGATTTACATAAATGACCTCATAGATAAAACAGTAAATCCACTTTATTGCTTTGCAGACGATGGCAATGTAGTCTCCTCACTCATACCACCCACAGGTCTTTCCGCACGTGAATTCCATCATCTTAGACTAACTCAAATATCGCAGATAAATAACGACCTGGAGATAATAGAGGACTGGGGTAACAAAAACCTTGTACAGTTCAACGCGCAGAAAACCCAAGCAGCTCTGTTTTCAAAAAAGACCAGCACCGGTGAGCCAAACATCATGCTATCTGGAAGTGCTGTCACATTACAGAGTCAGTTGAACATCTTGGGGGTTACTGCAGAGACCAACATGTCTTGGCACAGTCACGTGGCAGATATTGCTAAAAGGGCGTCCCAAAAGCTGGGGGTGCTATTTCGTACAAGACATCTGTACACACCAAGCCAATTGCTGACACTCTACAAAGCCCAGATTCGACCAACTATGGAGTACTGCTCACATATATGGAGTGCAGCACCCAAACATACCTTAATGCTTTTGAACACCGTGCAAAAACGAGCTATCAAGCTGATCAATGACCCCGCACTTACTCGTAACTTGGATGGTCTCGAACATCGCAGATCTGTGGGCGATTTATCTCTCTTCTACAGGTACTATCACGGAAAATGCTCTGAAGAGTTGGCACGTATGATTCCACCGAGAGTAGCGCCTACCAGGCGAACCCGTCAAACAGACGGTAACCATGAATTTACTGTCAAACTAGAGGCACCAAGAACCTCATTATATCAGAATTCATATCTCTGGAGAACAGCATCGCGCTGTAAGGAAGTAACTTCTGAGTCTAAAAAAAAAATATTTTAGCGATACTCTCTTTTACTGCTTTCTTGTTCAAAAGACTATTTCTAGGGGGGGGATGTCAAGGTCAAGTTTGTTATGCCGCAACGCCATCTTGAACGTCAAACATCAAACTGCCCTATAGGAAGATGCAAAAGCGCGCGGAATCATAAGCTGTGGTGCAAACAGCCTTAGTCAAGGCGAGAAACGACATGTTGCCCTACGGAACAACTGGCGATTTTGCGTGGTGGGGGGCTTCAGATTTGCATACAGGCCTTCTGAGGATAGGCTATCCTGTAGTAGTAGTGTGTATTATCCTTGGGGCGAAGTGTCATGTCATAATATAGCAAGTTGATCCCGCTCGCAGTTTTTGACGTGTTTTATAAGATTTGCAGTGTGTTTTTTAATTGAGTTGTTTCAACCACACGCAGAAACACCATTACAATTCGTGTTAAAATTTAAACTAATCTGTAATTATAGCCAAAATTTGGTTCAAATAAAACTACAAAAACGAACTGTTTCAAACAAAAAAACTTAGCTTAGCTTTGGTTATTTTGTTTATTAGGATGAAAAATTATTTTATTTATAATTTCTCCATATACAGCCTCAGAGGCTAGACAATTTTCAAGTTGCTTTGCACCAGCTTTGAGTCCATCTAAGTTATATTCGCCTTGAAGGTCGTGAGTTTGGAATGGACACTTGCTACTATTTGACAAGTTAGTCATGTCAATTCTAAACGTTCAAGGCCTCCTTAAGGTCTGAGAAAACCTCAATGAGCGGCTATAAATTCTGCCCTAGAAAAAAATCACTATTCACTCAACTCACGTTCTCGCATTACTGATGTGTGGGACAGTGATCGGCGTATGATACTCTGAGACGCCAATGAGTATATTTTAAGGCACACCAGCGCCCTCTACGTTCGCCCTAAGTAAAAATGTTGCAAGATATTTTTTATTGCATATTTTGTCTACATTTCAATTTGTACAAAAAAAATCAATTTTTTTCCAAAAAAAAAAAACGATATTTTTTTCAAATTCCAGATTCAAATTAGAGTTACCAAATGCATTGAGCTATTGAGAATTAGATATATGAGTAAAACTGTTTTTTCAAAATTTTGTCCATTGCCTTTGTATAGGTCCTACATATAAGAGGATTTTTTATTAGTTAGAAAAAAAAACATGACCTTTTTCCTTACATGACCTTTTTGCTTTTACATCTTCAGATATCGCAATAATAAGATTGCTATGACACCCTGTATTAATAGATTATTTTGTTAAGATTTTTTTTTCTTTACTAAAAACAGGGATATCAGAACTGAACAGACAAGTTTTAAAGAAAAAACTAAAACTTTATTATAGGAATTTTACACTCTATGATCTACAATAATAATAATTAATCTATTTACTTATCATCTATGCTCCCTTAACCTAATATTCAGAGTAAAAAAGGCGTTAACTATATTGCTAAATTAAAACCACCGGTAGTATTTTTATATATTTATTTCAAAATTTGTGGAAGTCCAAATAGCCCTACAAATTTTTTTTCCTGGTGCTCATTAGGCCAGGCGATATTGCATACTTGCTGCTGTTTCAAGTTTTAAGATTTGGTGAACCATTTTCTACTTTTATCAGTTAAATTCCTTATTTTATATAAAAATATACTGAGTAAATAGTACACCGTCATTGTTTTTCTTAAAAATTATTCAGCTGGAATGTAACAAATAAGTTTGGGGCGCACACTCAACATAGTATGCAACAGCGGCTGGAGTTAATGGCGGCTTTCATTTTAAAATCACGGCAATTAGTCACAAATATCACTATGTATCCTACATTTATAAGAAAATTAATGTAACTGCACTTTACCATCAATAAGTCCACTTCCACTGCTCGACTTCCATTAGCCCTTACTTAAAAATCAATGGACTATTTATTATTTATTATAATTATTGATTTTTTGACATAGGGATAAGTGTGTTTAACGGAACTGTTTAAAATCATTTGGCATACACTGTAGTTCAAATTAATATATAATCGGTTATAACTGTTCACCTTTTGTACCTGTTGACCAAAAATTATTCATACCAGAACAAGAAGCTATAAAAAAAAAAGATGCGAAAAGAAAAAAATAATAAGGAAGGTACAAACTAAAGACTGTACTTCTTTAATTTGAGCTTCTGCCTGCGCCTAATAATTACCAAGAGAAAATATTAAATACTATTGCCAAAAAAGACACGGTGGTACAATCGAAGTTTAAACAGTCCTTTGAGTTAAACTGGAATGGTGGTACTTGAACCATTTAAATTAAAATGCATTGCCTTCGAAAATAGGCAAATATAGCCAGTCGTATGAATAAAGTGTAGCAAATGCTTTTACTCTACCTCCGTCTCTTTCTGCTGCATTAAAGCTGAATATGTTTATCTCAAAAAACTTAAGTAAAAGCATTTGCTTCTGCTTTATTCATATGAGCCGCATCAATGCATATTAAATCGGAGGGTCAAGTTCCAGTAGAGATTAAATTAAGGGAGCGTTTGAGATCGAATTGTACAGCCGGGCCTTAGAAGTTTTATAGGCATGGTGGTATGATGCTCTCTTTGCATACTGAGGGTCATGGCTTTGAGCCTAGACATAGCTGTCCATATTGTCATTGAAAGGAGAAACTTCATAAGAAACATTACTTAACTCAAATTGCCCTTAGGTTAGAACCCAATGTTATCCATAATTATTTTTTTTTACTATAAGTAGCATACATTCTGATTCTGATGAAGAAATGATGAATAAATTAGCTTTCAAGAAATTTGCCTCACACAGAAGTGATTTAACTTTTATCTGCAGAGTGGAAATAAAAATGACAAAATGCCCTGGATGTTATGACTGCGCCATATCTACGACAGTGGGATAGTTACAGTAATGATCACAGAAAAAATAATGGCGATTGACCCAAAATCAAAGTGACCAAATACCAGTAATGGGTTTTGACAAAGCCTTAGAAAAGAGATTTTCGCCCTTGAAATAAGCTATACGAAAAAGTTGTCTGGGCTGGGACTCTGTAACGAATAGAGACATTTTCGCTATCTGTATTGACGTCCCTTCTCTATTGATTTCGAGAAGAAAGAAGAAAACAGCAAGTGCCATAGCGATAGGGATAACGATTTCTATCCGTTACAGAGTTCCAGCCCGGTTTTCTACGCATTCTTTCCCTTAGCAATTCCTCTCTTTATTCCTTCTGGTTTTATACAGCAACTAAAACCCCTGTTACAGTCCTCGAAGAACTAGCAATGCAGAAGGGCTGTAGTAAGCCAAACTATCAAATCACATTTCACTTGACCAGTTCGCCCCAAAACACATTGGATTACGAGGTAATGATGGCCGGTATAGAAGCTACTGGGAGCGGCCAGTGGCCCAATTCTTGAAAAATATCGCATACGAAATTTGATTCAAATTTGACTGGCAGCAATGTAAATTAAATGGGAAGAGTTCAAAATCATATCAAATTTCGTATGCGATATTTTTCAAGAATTAGGCCCCTAGGAAAATCTCATTAAAAATGTTTCAACTGTTAGTTCTATTGGGATGAAATGTTTACAAAATATTATAGATTTCGGATTAATTATTCAGCTTTCATAAGTCGCACATAACTCACCCAGTAAAAAGAAGACAACGTGCATTTCAGCTAAATTGACAGACATCACACTCCGGCATGAGTGTTAGGCCATACGTCCATAATGACGCACCGCACCTCGTACTGCACTTAACATTGCACCATAGTATCGCCCCTGCCTCACACATAGCATTGCTGTCGTGAGTTCGTTTTGGCGCACCGCACCCAGCATTTCACATCAGTTTGAATAGTTAATTTTCAACTTTTGTCAGCAGTGTAGCAAAGATAAGTTCTTCTTCGTCAGATAAAGATGATACCTTCTTTCACTCTAGTTTGAAAAAGTGGCACTTTATCAAAAATAGAAGACGATACATATCTTAAATAAAAAGCGAGGTCAGTTCGGTGTGAATTCCATCACCTTTTTAATGATCATGGTGACTTTTGCTTCTGTTGCCTCTCTGATAAAAATACTTGTAATTAATTTTTCCTTATCCATCATACATAGTGTGCGATGTGCGAGGCTTCGAAAAATACTTGATTTTGGAGTGTGATACTCTAGTGCCAGGCTTGGTGCCAAGCGAGGGGCGGTGCGCCATTGTGGCCAAGCTTTAAACACGGATGCTATGGTAGAATGCTTAGTGCTGTGCGTCGGTATGGCCGCCCATTTACTAGTTGGCAAACATACAAATATGGATAACCTCCAATTGAACATCTTCAGACAAATTATTACTCTTTGGGTTTCCTGGATATTTTCTATTTATAATTTGAATTTGTTGATAACATTCCACGAGTCATTGGTAGTGATAAGGCCATTTAACTCCTCAAAATAGTTTCCAAGCATGCAAAAATTATTTTTTTTCTCAAGTTCTAAAAACAATACTGAATATTATAATTGGAGCCAAATAATTAATAACCAGTCCCGTAATTATTTGAAAATGCCAGCTTTTTTTACATTTCACAATAAAGAAACAGTAGTGTCCTGTACATTAGAACTAAAAATGTTTCCCTTTTTAATTCTATTACTATACTTTGACAATCTTAAAAGTTCATCTTTTTGATTAAATGTATTACACTAAAAAATTATTCTATTTGACATCTTTTGTGGTTTCGTACCACCAAAAAGAAAATTATATTAAAAAATGCAGACAATAATAACTATGTATACCAAAAAAAGAAATATATGATATTTATACAACTTGAGAGAATATAGGATTTTTTAAGAGAAACCTTTTATCAATATATTCTTGTTTTCTCAAAGATAGATTTTGGAGATTTTTTTTTAACTTAATGGATATTAAATTTAAAATCTTGACACATATATACACAATATCATGAATGAAATTACATTAATAAAAAGAATTGCTAAACCTAACGAAAAAAAACGATAAAATTGCTCACAGTAAAACTTGGAAAAAAAGCCGCGGATCGCTATTTAACATGTTTTGGTAAAATAAATTTTCAATAAAATATTTTCACATTTCAGCTCAGCTCCCAGGTCAAAACAATAAAAAAGAAACCAGGAAAGTTGGACAATGCTTCAGAATTTTTATTTTAAGATAGATTTTAACAAAAGTTTTTGCTTTGTTTTTTTCTATTATTTTAAGCAATTTGTATTTATGTAATGGGCTCTTTCAATAAATTTTAAACAATGGGCTATCTGGAGTATATTTTCCAAAAAAAAAGAAAGATCTAGGAGGTCAAATAGGTTTTCGCAGGCACTTCAGAAACCAAATTAGGATTTCATGATTTTACACATATTTGAATAGCAGAATATTCAAATACTTGGGGCCTGTTTATTCGCCTTCTGATAAACCATCAGGCATGCAATCTGACGGATAAAAACGGTATTGGTCGGCCAGTTATCCGCCGACCAATAGAATTATAGAACAGTAAATTTATCTTGCAGATAGTTACCAGCAAGTTGATCTGAAGATGAATAAACAGGGCCTTAATCAAATATGTATTTATTCGAATATTTGAAACGTAGTATTCGAATGTTGAATAAATACTTGAACCAATTTTCTGATACTTAAACCTTGAAAAATTCCCAGCCTAACAGTGACAGCCGCCTTAATATATTTGTGAAAAATCTTGTTCAGAGGCGCAGCCAAAACTTTCAGGGCAACTTTTGAAAATCTATGATAAAATAAACCTATTGAATCAATCACTTTCCAGCTTTCGCTAATTTTTTCCAAGTTCAAATACATAGGCACTGGCCTATTACTGAAAAACAAATGTTTTGGACATACATATTAAAAAAAAGTAAAAAAGATGAAATTTCCTAAAATGAAAACCCGTCGCCGCCCCCGCCGACGGAAATTTTGAACAGAAAATACCAACTTATAGTTGTGTATGTGATGTATAAAGGCGTTTCGAATAAAATTGTCGATATGTATATACCGCAGTAGTTTTTGAAAAAAAAAAAAGCAAAACTAACGAAACGAATTTAAAAGAATATTTTAACTATGCACTCAAAATTTTCTTGTCGAGGCTGACCATGTCCGCTCCTGCTGCTGGTGCTAGGCATGTGTTAGTGCACCTCCGATGGTTCCGGCTTCTGGGCGTGGTGGTTAGCCGCTGATTCCGGCGTACTTATTGGCTAAAAAAAAATATATTAGAAAACTTATTGAAATTTCTGATAAAAGTTTCTAATTTATTTTTAGGTCGTCATAAGTTCAATTTTCATGAAAAGGAATATTGGTATCAAAACCGTGTAAAGTAGATCTTTATGGTAAACATGGTTAAAAAATTATTCATCCACCTATTTTTTTGGGTCTGTATTTGTATTTGTGTACACTTTCATGCAACTGTGTATATTCAAAACTCATGATCAAACAAATTAATATTCTTAGAAGTGAAAGAAAAAATAGCAACACAATAAAATATCACTTCTATACAAATTTTCAGTTAAATAGTGCCCTCCTGTGAAATTTCCATTTAGTGAAACCAACAGATCCAACCACTCTGGGACATAACAATTCTACCACAGTTTTGGAGAGTTACAAGACTACAAATCCACAACCCAAATTAAAGTTGTGTATGGGTATCAGAGGACTTGCATCTTTACCAAATATAAGGTCGGGAATAGGAAAAATTGAGTTGGAAATCCGAAAAAGGCTACTTGACAAGAAATCTAAAAAATGTTTATGGTGGCAAAAAGTGGTTCTTTGAGAAACAGGTATTGCAATTTTATTAAAACGTCAAGTGCTGAGTTTGAAAGTTTGTCACTATAATAGCCCATAAATAACATATAGTGATAACAAATCCATTTTTATATGGACTGGGACTGGAACTTTCCACAACGACCTCACGAACTTTCAATGAGGCTCAAAATTTTTCTCAAGTGCAATGATAAAACGCAATACCAAAAGGCCCTCAGAAGCAAACCAGCAAACTCTATGAAAAGTTTTCCGAGAAATCGGTGTGTGTTTTCCCATTCCAAGTGGGGACAAGAGGATTCAGCAATTTCTTTGATATTTGCCGCGCAACATTGCTCAGTAGCATTCAAAGCGTTGGTGAATTGAGGGCTACATCAAATACACCAAAGATACAAGTTGGTCAACGTAGGCTGTTTTTGATTCGCTTTGGTTCGTCTTCAAGGCCAACCAAATTAGAACCAACCGTTTTCGATTGCAAATTGGTGATGTCACAGGCATCACTTGATCCGTCAAAATTCGAACCAGCTTCGCGAGTTGGTTCGAATTTCGGTTTGCTTTTATAACCTTAAAACATGACGTCTTTCTTGACAGACTAAATTCAAAAGCTGTCAACCAGCTTCTGTCATATCCGAACCAACCAGAGGCCGAACCGGTTGCGAATCGAAAACGGCCAATTGAATCCAAGTCTACAATGCTTTATGGAGAATTATTATTGCTTGCTATTTTTTCCTATTTTTTTTTAAACACTCTCAGTGTAAGAATGCCAGGTGAATCGTTATATTTCACGCCAAGAATTTACTTCATGTTCAAAATTTGATGCATTTTTCCTGTATTTCTACATCTTTTAAAATTTGGTTTTCTTTATTATTATAATTCAGAGGAAACAGACGATTGCTGTTTTTTCCAATTCTTCTGTGTCAACATAAAGATACAGGGTGTTCATTCTAAAACTTACCACCCCTTTTATCTCGGAGTTGAAAAATGTTCGAAAAAATCCCTGAAACACCTCAACTATAATTTGAAGGGGGATGAGTTTTTTATGCAAAATTCACCTCCACCCTTTCAACCCCCCAGCCCCCAGAGCCACCCCCTAGAAAATCATAAATGGGAAGGGGGCTCAAGTGATACATCATTTTGAAGGGTTTCTAATTCCATCCATTTTGGTACTAAATTTTAATACCTGAGTTCAACTGTTTTGGAAATATTGACAGTTGAAAATTGACTTTTCTGCAACTTTGACAGGCTGTAAAACCTAAATCTGTGATTCCAATTAAATTTAATCTTCGGTTAAATTCCACATTGGTGTCAAATGATAGTTTATGAAAATCTAAGCCAAGAATGAGAGATCGGTTTTCCTCTAAAACCGTTTAGGTTTTACAGCCTGTCAAAGTTGCAAAAAAGTCAATTTTCAACTGTCAATATTTCCAAAACAGTTGAACTTAGGTATTAAAATTTAGTACCAAAATGTATAGAATTAAAAGCCCTCCAAAATGATGTATCACTTGACAACCCTTCCCATTTAAGATTTTCTAGGGAGTGGCTCTGGGGGATAGAGGATTGGGAGAGGTGAATTTTGCATAAAAACCCATCCCCCTTCAAATTATAGTTGATATGTTTCAGGGATTTATTAGAAAATTTGTCAACTCCGAGATAATAGGGGTGGTGAGTTTTGAAATGGAAACCCTGTATTTAAAAACTACATTATACAAGAGATTCACAAACCAAAAAACAAAAAACATGAATGGATGGTTCAAAATCCTACTTTTTGTAATCAATTTGCCAGTTTTAAAACTCAAATGAAACTTTGAACGCAATGGTTAATTAATACTTCATAAGCGAGATCTTGATACGTTTTTTTTTCTTTAAACTTTCAAATTGCTATCAATTTCTCAATCGAAATGGCGCCCTGTCAAAATGTTGTATTTTATGTCATTTCACTTTTCTGAAAAACAGAAAATTATTTTATTAAGTCTAAGTTCTATCTAAAGATCAAGTCAAGGTGAAAATACCTTTTAGTTAAAATTTATATTCCGGATAGTGTCTAAGAACATAAGTACCCTTAATCGATCTTTAAAAATATGGCAGCATTGTCATTGAGACAATTGCTTCATTGCTTGGGGTATTTATTCTTATTTCGTTTGGTACCTTTCTCCGTTCATTCATGAATAATAGTAATCTTATATTAAGCAATGGCTTGTGTAAAAATGGTGTTAATAAAAAAAACTGTAACTAGAACTTTTCTGAATAAAGAACTTATACGACTTGCACTAAAATTGTAATTACAAGAAACGAAAAAAAGAGCTACAAAAGCATTCACAAACACACAAGCCACACACTTGTCTATAATTCTAACACCCTAACCAACCTAAAGCGAAATGCCACATCAATCATACATTTCTTGAGCTTGCATGACCTTCTCAGTGGTACTCACTAGAGCGTGGGGCGGCACCTGAACTGGCGGTCCAACAGGTGGAGCTGGTTGTGGCGTTGGCGGAGCAGCGCTAGGTGTCACAGTATGTGGCGCTTCGTGTGGCGTCGTCGAGTGAGCTTGTTGCACTGGCAAAGCACCACCACCTTGGTAGTAGCCACCGTTTACCCCTGCAGGAGACACTAAAGAAATAGAAAATCAAATTAAAATATTGTTAAATTTGATAATTTTATAAGAAGAAATAGAATAGCCACAGAAGCTTTTCAACAATGACTGCCTATAAATACTTGATTTAACTACGTAGTTTTAAATGACATGTTATTCACCTGGGGACATAAACAAATATACGATTTTATATAAGGTAATTATTACATTGGTTATTTTTATATTAGTTATTACTTATTGTATTAGTATAAGGCGAAATGAATTAATTTATTACAATACAGTAGGCAGCGTTCAGAATACTTATATAATTTACTACTTATTTTACACGTTCACCGAAACATATTAGTACTGCAGCGAAAACATGGGGATATTTTTTAATTTTCTAGCTACTTGTTTAGTATTGTAATTGTATCTAAGACTCATGAGCACAAAGAGTGTGTCCACGTTAAGAACTGACGACCTTTTGAAAACGATGATTTTATGAAACTTCAAAAACAAAACCTATGTCATTTGATTTTTCCAAAAAAAGTCCCTAATTGAACAGATAAGAGTATCCTCGTAAATTTGAGGACAGGCGTTATTCGTTTTACAGTCGTTTTGGAATTGTAAATCCTAACCACTAAAATTGATTTTTCCAATAATTTAAAATTTCTGTAGCAGAAATTGTGATAATCAGAAATAGCAAAAAACGTACCTACCATAAAATACACTTGTTGAGTAAGTGTGCTATAAAGGTGTTTAAAGCTTTATTACGATATTTGATAATTAACCCAAATTATTAATCGAAATCTAAGAGACTCAGGCTGTAGCCATCTATAAGATCTTAGAAAAAAGTACTTGCGACATGTATTTATTGAACTGGCGCCTCACCCAAGAACAGAATGACACCCTCATCATGAACAGTGAACGTGTTACGAAAAAATGTTAGTAAATTGCGGAAAAATAAAAATCTATGTTAAGGACAACTAAATACTGTATGTTTTCAATGAGAGAAAAATTTAATGTTTGGAATCAGATTGTGGTGGAGGGTATAGGAAGATCTTAGTGTATATTCATTTTGCAAAAATAGCAGTAAAAGCATTCCATTTGGACTGAAGACATATTAAATTTAAAATGTAAAATGTGTTCCGTGGAAAAGCAAAAATGCAACAAGTGGTCAAAAAATTCTGCTGTTGGATTATATTTTACGGGTCGAGTTGGAATTCGTATCGTCCGCAGCTGTCGTATTCGATATCGAGTGTCATAACAGACAATTTGACTCGACTCGTCAAATAGAATCCGGGCTCTGAGCACCGACTTTAAACTAAACCATCATATCATATCTTACTGTTGAAAGATATTTTCTATTTAATAGATTATTTTCAATTTTCCACGAACACAAACTAAACATAATTTCAAATAAAAAAGATTTTAGAAATATTGTGATGATTGAACATTTGAAAAATTGCTTGCCAGAATATAGCCAATCAGCATTAAATGTTTATCTCATTTGAAAATAAACTCTAGATCAGATAAATTTTAAAGCGTTCTAATGCCTAAGTTCTAAGTTCTAAGCAAAAGTATGATATTAAATTGTTAGGGATTAGTTAGTTTAATTGTGCAAGTTTTTGAATTGTACTGTCTTATCTGCCATAGTTGAAAATTAGAAAACTCTGACCAGAATGACGTTAATGAGGAATGCGTGCAATGTGTGAATATGTTTCAAGAAATAGAACTCAAATTATCATTACTATGGACATCAAAAATTGTCAGAATTTGTTAATTTTGCATTATTGGCATTAATAAGAATCAGGAGGTAACTGTTTTGCATAACACATTTTCTTAAACGCATCACACCATGACCAATTAGAGATCATAAAACTAAATATAACTATGAGTTTTGCCTTATGCAAAACCGTGCCCTAATAAGAAATATCAGGTTCGGAAAGTGAAGTTGCAAAGTACAAAGCAGGTAGTAGCAGATATTATATGTATAAAAGTAGTTCCCTGAAGTCATCAAAACTAACCCAAACTAGTGAAATGTGACCGTACCATATATCCTTTTTTGTTATAACGTCACTAGAGAAAAAAATTTCCGCAACCACTGAGGGTGATCTTTATTAACCGTAACCATGGCCAGGAAATTTTATGGTGATTTTTACAACAAACTCATCTCTGGAATAGATCATTTCCAGTTTTAGGGATTCTAATGTCAACATATATCACATATATTTGTTATATATAATTTCTTATATGGACATTTTAGCACTATATCACCTGCCAAAAATCTTGTTGGGAACAAATTCTTTAAAATATTTCATGTGATGTTTCCAGTAGCAGTAATCAGTAAGCGCTCCGTTTTCGCCAATCAGAATTCCTGAGTATAGGCTATAGGCTAGGAACATAATATGTACCAATTTTTGTTCCCTTGTTGTTTTAATTGGAAAGATTGCATCAAGAGAATCATGAGTTGCCATCAGAGGTGTGTTGTGCAGTGCTTCGAGCTTAGAGCATGATACCTACCCTCTACCTTATGCCAATTAATTATTATTTGTTAAGCTCTTTTTTATATTTTTGTAGTAAATGATGAATGGCGAGTTCACTTCAAATAAAGTTTAAAAGTTTTTTAGGTTTTTTTTTTATGTCTGTACAACACAAAAGTTTGTTTGTATCATTGCTTTTCAAGTTGCTGACTCCTTTCTCCCAACAGAGCTTCTCTGGAATTTCCTTTTTTTTCAATTTGCAGGATAGCTGTTGACAGGTGTAGGTACCCATTTCTCATGGAAATACAGCACAGCAAATATTAGAGCAGCGGTTGTCGAATTATTTTAGAGCGCCAAAGCTGGATAAGCCAAGGAGAAAACTGAGAAGGGTGCAAAGTAGTACGAAACTTCGAGAGCCTCTGCATAAAAAAATTGAGGTCCTCCAAGATCCGTAAGCGTAGTAGGTACTAACAGGTTGTGTAGAAATTGAAAAAAAGAAATACATTAATTATTTGTGAATATAACTATTTTTGCCCCAACCATAGATACCAAGTCAAAAACAAACAAAAATAAAATACTTTATTGCAAAGAAAAATAAAATCATTGACAATATTATAATGTGATGCACTAAAAATAAAAGTAAATAATATATATAAGATCTATTTCAACCTAGCCAAAAACCATTAAAAGTCAGTCAAATTTTTTAAGTAAGATGCAAGAGAAAGAAAATAGAACTGTATAGAAAAAAAATCATTGACAATATTATAATGTGATGCACTAAAATTAAAAGTAATATATTTAAGATCTGTTTCAACCTAGCCAAATACCATTAAAAGACAGTGAAATTTTGTAAGTAAGAAGCAAGAGAAAGAAAATAGATGACAAGTGTTAAATAAGATTGGAACAGACCTAGTAATAATACTTGAATTACATAAACGATTATATAGCGGCGTCTTAGTGAGTTTAGGCGCGTGATGCAGACAAAACTCAAACATACAAAGTAAGACAGATCAATATTTCCTAAATACCTACCAGAACAATTCGGGTTATCTACACGCATTTCAGCGAGCTTAAGAACTACATATCAAAACATAGCTACTGACCTGTCAAAATATGTATGAAGAGTTAACAAAAAATCTAAGTTAGGTGCTTACTAAAAAGAAAGAGTTAAACTATAGCCTGAATCAGTTTGTTTACGGAAACGATAACTCACATAGAACATCAAATCTAAGTAACTAAAACATAAAAATATACTACAAACTACTAATACAGATTACCTTAAGGCCTCAAAAATGCAAAAAAAATTTGGACTCGCTGTCACCAAAAAAATGAGTTAATATTAGAAAAGGAAGATTATTGTTATTAAGGATGCACCAAATCTTCAGTATTCGGCTTGAGCTATATTCATATTTATTAGAAGCAAATTCTAGAAAACTCGTGTTGAGATTTGTTATTCACTTATTTCCCAATTTCATGTGAAACATTTTAGTTGAACGTCCGTCGTTTGTTTTTTTAGCGAATCCATAAGATTGTGAAATCTCTAGCGGCTGTGAAAGCAGGTCATATTAGACATATTATGTATTTGGTTTTAGCAGCTGTATTTGTGTAATAGTTACAGAGCATAAAACGTACTTGTGAGCTGTGAATTTTCTTAAAAAAAAAAAACAGTATTTATTCTTTGACAAACAATTCCTCAAATATGCCATTTGAGGAGTCATTGAAGTCTAAAGCAAACAATTTTTGTGTTTCTGACTGCGACCAAAAGATAGTTATTTTTTTTCGTGCATTTTTGACAACTAACGCCATGGGCCATGAAACAGCAGTTGATACAGGAAAGGCATAGCAAAAAGTTTACACTTCTAGGAAAAGCACTGCTATATACATCATTTTACAAGTGAAGATTATCACAAATTAATGAAAATGGTAAAATGGTGATTCTTGTATAAATAAGAAGTAACAACCCTGATTGCTCAAGGAAAATTTTATCAATCCACTAGTTTGGGATCACAAATAGTGGTTCACAATGATGAATTTGTAAAATTTCAAGGGGAGAGGAGTTCAAAAGACGATTGAGTATGGAAAATCTAGTGAATGGGACCAAGACAAAAAACCTGCTTAAGCTCTGCATTTTGAGTGTAGGTATATTTTACACCTCACCTACTGGCTTTAGTGGCTTTATCATGTATATAGACAATAGTAAGACTCCCAAAAAAAAATTAAAAATATTTATGATTTTCTCTTCTGCTTTAGGCTTTGGTCCAAAACGCCAAAGATTTAGTATGATTGATGACCGGATATTCGGTTTCTGTTATTCTACCAAAATACAGCTTTGGTGCATCCCTAGTTTTGTTATGCATATTTTTAAACTAGAGTTAAAACTGATCTTGCTTAGGCAACATTTTCAAAATTATGCCTTAATATTTCTTCACTAAATTTGAAAAATATTATATGAAATAAGTGAAACTGTAGGTTGATCAAAATCTTCTCCTTTAAAAATATAAATATAAATTGCTTTTAGTCTTAAGAAATTTAAGAATATGATTTTATGAAGCTTAAAATGTAATCCGTTACCTTAATGTTATTAAGTTTTTGGTGTAACTTAGTCAATCCAATAGAACCAAAAATTATTATTAAACATGAAATTGCAAAATCAGCAATAGCGAAGTCAAGAAGCTCCATTAGATTGATTATTTAATACTTTAAGAAACACAGCACCAAACATTACTGAAGAATACTATAGTAGGTACAATAAAAGTTATAATGGATTGGGTTTTTTTTTTGAAAACTAACCCAAACTGAATAAAAAAAAACAATAATATATTTAATTTTTTTTAAAAAATTCGATTTAAAGTCTTTTGTGGGATAGACTCACAGCCACCACAAATATTTAAAAAAAAAAAACTGAAAATTGAGTAGAGCTCACATACGCCTATAGAGATTAATAATTTATTAATTTAGGGATTTGAACAAAAAATAATGAGATATATTCCGGATTTTAATATCACAGTTACTAAAAGCCACTGCAGTTATACACATTATCGTGTGTTATTGGATTTTCGGATCTCATTAACTTGTTGTGCATTGATTGCAACTGTTTTGGAAATTTTGAATGTAAAAATTGCAATTCTTTGAAGGGCGTGTCATTCATAAAATAAACATTGTGCCAAAATTTCTAACTAAACGTCCAAAAGAATGACCTAAAGATGTGATACCTACTCAATAATTAGTTTGTATATTGATCCCAAGATTTTAAGGCGCGTTCTCATTAGTCATTAGTCAACTTCATTGATCAATATCGATACAAAGATTAATCTGAATATTGTTCAGTGATATTAATCATCAATATTGCATATCAATGAAAGTGAAAAGCATTTCTAATTTGGATTCAGGGTTGGCAAAAACCCGGGTTTGTGAAAATTTCTATTGGGTTTTGTGGAGTTTTTGTGTTTTTAGATCTCTGACATTTCAGAACCTCTGTCAGAACTCAACTCAAAACTGCATATTCTTTATTTACTAGTTCATTAGCACAATTTCTTTTTTACTACTAGTAGTAATCCAAAGAAAAGTTCCTTTTGTTTTTTTTGTTTTGGTAAATAAGAATAATTACTATTTGGTTAATATTATTTGCCTATTTTTCCTTAGTATGATTTTTTATTTTGTTTAATACAGATAAGTAAAATGTGGGTAATTCTAAAATCTAGATTTTAAATTGATATTTGATATTTCTCACTCTCACAGAGTTAGTATTTTTTTGAATTTTTTTTTCTCAAATTATTGCAGTTAATTTTTTCTTTATGAGTGGGTTTTTGACACTAAAATTCAAAGCCCACTGTCTATTTGTCAATATTGATGGTGGGTTTTTGTGTCAAACCCACTGGGTTTTTGAAATGGGTTTTTGTGTATGCCAACCCTGCTTTGGATTGGCTTGACCCACGGAATTAGTTCAACTAAACTGAAGAGTGTTTGACCATAAAAACATACATTCAGTTGCATTGAAAAGCCATTTTGTTCTGTTTGCGGTCGAGTTATATTCCGATAGAAATCGGAACAAACCTATGAGTGGTTTATGTGATGTGAAAATATTCAATTTTAAATTACACTTTTTAGACTGAATATTCAATGTCCTGGAAGCATGTGAACGAATTTCAATTCTAAATTCAGTGGCATAGATTCAACAATACTGATGAATGAAATTGACTAATGAGAAAACGCCATACTATATATTATAGTCCTTTTATCAGCTAAATAACATTTATGGGTTGTCATTCTTTGGGACAGAAATCGCTGTTCTGTATGACAAAAACGTTGTTGGTCTCTGGAACAGAAACGTTGTTGTCCTTTGGGATAACAACGTTGTTGTCCTGTGATACAACAATAATGTTGAATTCTGGTACAACAGCGTCGATATCCTCTGGGACAACAACGTCGATGTTTTCTGCGACAACAAGGTCGTTGTTCTGTGAAACAATGTCATTGTTCCTTGGGAGAAGAACGTCGTTGTTCTGTGGGAGAAGAACGTCGTTGTTCTGTGGAAGAAGAACGTCGTTGTTCTGTGGGAGAAGAACGTCGTTGTTCTGTGGGAGAACAACGTCGTTACTCTGGACAAGAACAACGTCGTTATTCTGTGGAACAACAATAACGCTATTGTTCTTTGCGATAGCTCTTTTTCTCTTTGAGATAATGTTTTTTTTCTTAGGGACAACAAAAACGCTGTTGTTCTGCGGAATTTCGTTCTGCGAAATGTTGCTCTGCGGAATAAAAGGGCTATTGCACTGTCGGGCCAACGAATTGGTAATGGGTGAAACAAAAAAGTTGCCGCGTGGAACAAAAACGTTGTTACGTGGAATAAAAACTTTGTCGCGTGGAACAAAAACGTTGTTGGGCGCAATGGGTGGAACAAAAACATTGCTGCGTGGAACAAAAACGTTGTTGCGTCGAACAAAAACGTTGTTGCCGCGTGGAACAGAAACGGTGTTGTGTGGAAAAAAAGCGTTGGTGTTGTGTGGTACAGAAACGATGTTGTTACGTGGTGCAAAAACGGTGTTAAAGTGTGGAAGAGATACGGTGTTGCTTTGTGGGATAAAAACGTTGTTCTCTGGAATGGAAATGTTGGTATGAGGGACAAGAATGTTAGTTGGGACAGAAACATTGTTGCTCTGTGGGACAGGAACGCTGTTGTTCTGTGGGACAGAAACGATGTCGTTGCGTGGGACAGAAACGTTGTTGCTCTGTGAAACGTCGTGATCCGGGTTTCGTGAAAATGAACAACCTGGTGAACAATCAACAGAATGAAGATTACTACCTTGTTTTTGTGCTTCGCAACAGTACTCTGTTCTTTCTAAAAAAACAGGAACTGAAAAGAACATGAAAATGTCACCCATGGTGAAATATAAAAAAAATATCGTTCAGGGTCAGATTTTAGGACCAAAATAAAATATATATACATGTACATCTATGCTGGACTCTCAGACTAGTGGAAATTGTGGATATCTAATTAAATAATATAGAGGACTCCTTTATATGTATAATTATGATAAATATGATGATTTCTTAGGCCAAAAACAAATAAATAAAACCAATTTTATCAAAAAAAAAAAAAAATGTTAGAATATTTATACATATATTATACCTGCATTACATAGTACATACAGTAAACACTCGATAGTGTGAAAATCAGATAATGGAAACCCCACATAGCAAGAACAGAACAACATATTATGCATATACCACCATATAATGTGAACAACCTATACCTCTGCTCATGAAAAAAACAGATCAACTTCTAATAGATTAACAAAATTTTACTACAGAAAGAGACTTCTATCAACTATAATAGGAAACAACATAAATAATGCCAAAACCTGAAAAAGTTGACTAAGTTAATTAGAGACCCATGACCACAGATAGACAAAGCAATCAGTCATTGAATATGTTTTGTTGTAATGGCTTACATGACTTCGGACAAAGTGAGCAATGGAAAGAATAGAATTAAATATGAATTATTTATGCCAAAACTTATGACATTTTGAGTAGAGGAGTGGGAGTAATACTACTAAGCAACAAGAAATTTTGTCACATCGAAATTTCATTCCCTACTCTGTCTATATGTGCTTTCATAGTTCGCTTGAAATTTTGAGAAGATTTGGCACTCCAGATGAGTCCTTTTCTCCTATATTCAAATTGATCCTAGTTTGTGTATAGCTATACCTATACCTATAGGGTGCACTCAAAAATTTGACGCGTATGATTGAAATCAGCCGAACAGTTTCAAAGTATATAAGCTGATAGAAACAATATTCCTGAACTCTTTAACTGTCAACACTATAAAGTAGTATAGAAGATACTATGAACGCTTTTTATGTTGCAACCCAGTGGGCAGAAGACGACAAGCTTCTTTAAAGAAAATCCTCACAAACAAACAAAGAATTCTGACTTTTTTTGGCAAAAAATAATTATGTACTTACTTGATTATGTTTTTTTCTTTTTCATTTGCTATTATATTATTATTTATGTTTATTACACATTAGATATGACCTGCATTAACCTTAATAAATGAATAATGTGAAGCATCATTGTTTTTTTTTTTGTGTTCATAGTACCAAGTGTCTACTGTATATTCTTCTATGTTAAATTTTCAATGAACCATGGGTTCGTTGAATTTCTGGACCAATAAACTTTTCCAGACAATCAACAACAAAACCCCAAATAACACCTTAGAAAATCAGTATTTTTAAAACGGCGATATGCAATACGAAATTTTCACTAAGAATAATGAATGCGATTTTTTGAAATGTATACAATGTAGTGTGAGGTGACAACCAAGAAGACTCCAAAATTTCCACAAGAGTACTTTGATAGATACATCTTTATTCTACACTGAAAACTTATCATACAAACGTCAATTTTATGAAAAATGCTGTTACATCAATTTTAATTGCCACTGTCAACCCCAATTTTGTTTTGATATCTATATTTGAACTAAATTACTGAAATGCAATTGGAATCTATTAATGCTCACAATCTTCGTCCTAAAATTGACTTGCATGATAAGAATTTATAATTTGTTACTCGCAGTAAGATTCTTAAGTCCAAATACATAATTCTAAATAAAATATCAAAATATTACCTGTACCTTCAGGATATTGGCCTGCAGGACCCATAAAGTACTCCTTATTAACGCAGTTGCGCAGACACTCCGGTATTCTTCCCATGATTGCCCGCCTGATCTCGCTGGCTGCCATTTCTCGCAGCTCAGTGGCGCTGGCATCGCTGTAGAATGCCGCATGTGGTGTGCACAACACGTTAGGCGCATCTTTCAAGGGTCCAGTGAACACGTTGTATGGCTCGTTCTCGTGGACATCTAGAGCTGCGGCGCGTATACGCCCCTGTTTCAAGGCCTGCGCTAACGCGTCATCATCCACTAGACCTCCTCTAGCTAAAGAGATATTAGAAAATATATATTCAAAACCCTTGTAATGTCTTTCCGTTGCCGCTAACATTATTCACCAGATTCTTCAGTATTTTCACAAGTTTAGTGAATTCAGAAATGTCAGGTTCCCAACACAGTGTAGCGAAACATGTTATCACTTTGTTTATTATAGTGAATGAAAGTTTATAGTAAAAATTGATTTTTCTTATTTCTACTACCAGAGTATTCTGGTATCAGGTATCACACTAAATAATGTGAATGCAATTCGGCAATGTCTCACGTTCAACATACTCAAGAGAAATTCATCTATAAATCACTGGTTGCAGAATGTGTGATTTTGAATAAGATTATCTTTTTTCTTGGCAAGCGATTGAGAGTTATGCCCAAAAAAAAATACCAACTATACATAATATAATTCATATCTAATCTACACTGGCCAGCAAAATTAACGCACCACTACTATTTTTGAAAAATATTTTTTATTTCATAATTTTGATCAAATATTTTTATGTCTTGATTAAATATATTCTTATTCTGACCTAATAAGGGTATTAACAAAAGATAAAATTCCAAAAGAAGGTAAGAAAAAAAAAAAAGAAAATTAAAAAAAATAATAAAATTTTTTACTTTAGTTAAAAATAATTAATAACCGGTATTTCCTCCTCTATTTTGAATAATAGCACGGCAGCAATTTTTCATGTTAAAATTACGGGCCTTATCTCGCTTTAACCCAAATTATTCCATATTTTGACAATATCTCCAGTAAGCCCATTCAAAGTGTTAGGAAGCTCTTAAAAATGGCGACAGATCATGTCTCAGCCATCCTCAATTGGGTAAAAATCAGAACTGTTTGCTAGCCAATCCATAGTTCCAATTCGAACCTCATTAAAATAGAAATAAGTAAATGGTGCGTTAATTTTGCTGACCAGGTGTACATTTAGCAAAAAAAAATTGTGAAGAAAATTTTTATATAAGCATCAAAATGTAACTTACCCGTGTTTACAAGAAATGCTCCAGGTCTCATTTGTTTAATTGTAAACTCGTTGATAAGATGGTGGTTGTGTTCGTTTAAAGTACAATGTAGCGAGACGCAATCTGATTGAAATAGTAAATCCTGCAGAGTATAAACTCTAGTGAGCCCCAAGCTCTTTTCAATACCGTCGGGTAAATAAGGATCATAAAAGATCACGTTGAAGCCAAAGGCCTTGGCACGCAACGCCACTGCTGAGCCGATACGGCCCAAACCAACTATGCCTAAAGTGTCTCCACGTATCCGAGCACAACCCTGTGCTGCTTCACGAACCTAATTTAATATAATATTAATATTTAAAAAGATAATATAACTTGATTTAGGTTTTCGCGTACACTTACTTGCTCCGGACCTGTGAATTTCTTTCCTTCTCTAACCATATTTGCAAGCCAATACGTTCTTCTATACAAGTTCAATATCAGACACAAGGTGGTGTCAGCTACTTCTTCTACGCCATAGCCTGGAACATTACAAACGGCGATTCCTAATTCTCCAGCCGCTTTAACATCAATATTGTCGACGCCGCTACCAATACGTACAATAATACGCAGTGTTTTAAATTTTTCGAGGTCCTCTTTGGTCAGGATAATGGTGTGCCACATAAGAGCCCCCACTGCTTCGTTGAGTACCTACAATATGAGATTTTTCAATATTATTTCTTTGATATATCTATACACCGCACAAAAATTATCGCATCTATCAAAGCAGAAAACACAGAAATGAACAGCATAATTGCAAAGTGGAATGTATGCCTATCCGCATTTTCCCGAGAAAAGTAAACAAGAACCTAACAGAAGAAGAAAGGACATGTTTTTTGACTAGAGTTTTTCAGTTAAAGAATGGCCCTTCAGCAAATACTTAAGAACTTTTTAAAATAAATTTACTGTAGCCAAAATATATAAAAGCATTGGTGATGCGATAATTTTTATGCGGTGTGTATTTCATGCGACAAAAAACAACCACTATAATACATATTTAGGACTAGATTGACTTAGCCTGCCAAAAATATAAGCACATAGGTAGAAATTTTAGAATTATTTCCACAACGTCAAACCAAAAAAAATATTGGAACAAATAATCAATCATAAGTCTAGTACATTAAAGCAAATAAACACTGAAATAACAAACATAAACAATAACAATAATCAAAATACAACTCGACTTTTATTTAGGAAAAGTAATAATGTCTATTTTCTTCAGATGAAACGAATTCAATAGAATAACAGATGAAATAGAAATTTTAAAAAAATAACTAAAAATTTTCAAATCCTATTTATTTCAGAAACGGTTGTTGAAGATGTAATTTTGGGTAATTGGCGAACACAAAAACAAATAGTCCATCTTGGGGCTTGATCTAAACACAAAAAAATCTATATTCTGAATGAATATAAAATATGTAGTCAACTCAACCCTTTTATATACTCCCTATTTCACCCACATGAAGTTGAATTCGAAATGAACTTATTATTGGCGCCAATAAATAGGTTGTTTTTGAATATATGCTAGAGTTACTTTAATTTTTATTATGGTATTGTAACTGAATATAGTATAAATCATAGCTGAATTTAACACTGGTTCATATTTATTATATAATTACAGCTATACGTATTTGAAGTTAATATAATTTATTTCTAGATTGCCTTGAACATTATGCTATTTTAAAAGGAATTATGGGAGAATATCAGATTTAACATGAATTAATATTAATATGACTATAATATAAGATTGACTAAGTTAATTTTAGCTTTAGCTGAATTTTAACTAGTGTTAGTCACACATTTTCGTCTATCCTTCTCTGGACGTCTTCACCGCAGTCGCCGGTCCATGTGATCGTTGTGTCGTCGGAAAACAATGTCAGGTGACCGCTTATAGGTAGAGCCGCTAGATTATTCACGTAGAGTATAAATAAAAGGGGTCCCAGAGTAGATCCTTGTACAGTTCCATGCTTCAACTCTTTGATCCAAATCATACCCCACACAAATAAAAGTATATTCTTTCCAGTAATCTTTTATCTCACCTCACTCAGCACACAGCCAACAACGACCATTATACCTATCACTACCAGCACACGACTGATGCTATATAGAGGAACATTAAATCAGAATGGAACTAGTGCGAATTAATTGTTATTATTATTATTATTGAAATTGAAATTTTCTCACAGAATTGTGGTTTAATGTTGCTGTGACGGGCTATGCCAAGTCACTGCAAATAATATTAATAATAAAGTGAATTGAAGAATGATCTGACAATATGGCATGTTTTTGAGATGACTGATTTCTGAAAGTTTTGTTTTGTTGAGTCCTAGCTGCTTCAGGTGTGATTTGAATGTTTCGGGATTATTATTATTATTATATTATTAGTCTGACAGCAGGCGGAAAGTCTGATAAAAACTGCCACTTTATAATCATAACAATCAAACCTAATAATGTACCAATTCGCGATTCACATGTGTAAGGTCTCTATCTAGTCTGTTTTTGAAAGTGTTCAAGGATGGGCCATTAACAGTATCTTGGCTGAGTGCGTTCCATACATTATACTACCCAGTTGGTAAGGAAGTTCCGTCTAGCAAGCTTTGCGCATCTTTCTTTTGAGAGTTTTTTGGAGTGTCCTCTAAGCATCGTTTCGCCTCTCGTTACAAAGATATCCAGTTGGTCGCAATAGTATCCAGACATGATTTTGTGGCTCTGTATTAAGTCGCCTCTTCGCCGGCGTTCTCTTAGAGTGGGTATCTTCAACCTGGAGCCGAGCCTGGAGCATCGAATTTCATACGGAAGTTCCGTCAGTTCGGTTGGTATTCGTGTTGCACGGGGCTGTACGCGCTCCATCAGTTCAATGTCCTTAACGTAGTATTGGTTCCACGAACTCACAGCAAACTCAAGCATGGGTCTTATATACAGGGTGTCCCAGAATATGTGGGCAATCTCTCGGATTCAGATAGAACACAAAAAAATAACATGACAACTTCCTATAAAAAAAAATTCCTACGGCCCCCCCTATGAAGTTACGTGCCCCTAAAGGGCGTCTGAAAATCGGTTTTTTGTTGACAACTTTCAAAATACTTCATGTAATTTTTTTTTTCTTTTTATACGATTGATACTAGATAGGACCCCTTAAAACGGACCCTTTCAAACACACTTGGCCAATCTAGTTTGCCAGGGACGGACTAGCTTTAACACAATAATGCTAATTTTTTTTACACCCTGTATGATATAGGCATAGCAATAATATTTTTAGATTGTTTCAACCTTGAACTAGAAAAAAGGTACTCTTATTCGATGTCAAAAAAATGAGCTGGTTTTGAGAAAACTCTGTTTTTGTGTATTAATGGTTTTTTATTAAATAATTTTTTATGTCGACTCAACATGAGATCCTTCTAATCTTATGCATTCCATACCTATTTCAATGAGTGTTCGACTCTTGACAATGCTTCAATATTAGCCCTTATTTCGCGACAGTGAAAATTAATCCTTTCTACTAATATTTCCTCAGTGTCATTATTGCGTTAAAGCTAGTCCGTCCCTGGCAAACTAGATTGGTCAAGTGTGTTTGAGAGGGTCCATTTTAAGGGGTCTTATCTAGTATCCATCATATTAAAAGAAAAAAAATTACACGAAGTATTTTGAAAGTTATCAACAAAAAACCGATTTTCAGAGGCGTCCTTTAGGGGCACGTAACTTCGTAGGGGGGGGCCGTAGGATTTTTTTTTATAGGAAGTTGTCATGTTATTTTTTTGTGTTCTATCTGAATCCGAGAGATTGCCCACATATTCTGGGACACCCTGTATATTCATAATTGTTGAACAGGAGTGATCCTTAAAAGCTTTTTGGACAAGATATATGAGGGTGATTGCTCTCTTTACTTTTCCCGCGATGTGGCTTTCCCACTCAAGATCTTTTCTCACAACTACTCCAAGGTCCTTTTGGTGGACAACCTCTTTGAGGGCTTTTCCAAACACTAAAGAGGGTGTATTGAATATTTGGGTTGTTTCGACCGATATGCAGCAGTGTGCACTTTTCGACATTCAGCGACATTAGCCAATTTCCAGTCCACACCTACACAGTCCTCAGATCGCTCTGCAGTACAACTTGGTATCATCTGCGAAGGAACAGATTCTGTTATTGATGTCAGTTACCACATCGCTGATATAAACCAAGAACAGCGACGGTTGAAGAACCGAGCCCTGACGCGCTCCACTCCTTACAGTTCTTTCGCCTGACAAAGCGCTATCTATCTTAACCTGAAACCTGCGCTTAGTAAGAAACCACCAATCCAGGACAGAAGTGGGCCCCTAACGCCATAGTGATCAAGCTTGTAAAGCAGTCTGTAAAAAGGGAGTGTGTCAAAGGCACTTCCGAAGTCAAGGTATACGACATCCACTGGTTGACCACTGTCCTGCAAAGTAGTCCAGTCGTTGGGACATGAAAGCAGGTTTCTATCTATGGATTTTTTCGGTATGAACCGTGTTGACATGCTGGTATTATGCCATTCTCTGGGAAAAAGTCGGTTAGCTCCCTGACAATTATTTTCTCCATGCATTTGGGAAGTGTAGATGTTAGGCTAATGGGTGGGTCCAAGCATTGGGAACATAACCTGAGGCTAGGGCCTTGGTCAGTGCTGTTAACAGAGGCCCACACAAGACATCGGCACAATTTTTCAGGTAAACTGGTGGAATACCGTCGGCGCAGACTCACAATTACCATTTGGATCTTATGTTAAATCATATCAATACTTTTCTGTGTTCAATGTGACTATAATCTGGGAATGTACATACAAAATATATTGTTTTGTTTTGAAACTACTTTGATACCTGGTGGCCGATCCTCGGATTTCACTCCCTGGCTCGAGGATCGGCCTGGTGATTGTGTCTCTGCATCTGCAAGTTTAATGTATGCTGAAGATTTTAAACTATTTAAACCCATATCTGATAGAGAGGATACTGTCAAATTGCAAAGTGATCTATTCTCAATAGTTGAATGGTTTAAAAGCAACAAAATGTCTCTAAATGTGAAAAAATGTGCAATGGTCACTTACACTCGCAAAACAAATTATTTTATTGAGGATTACTATATTAAAAGTACCATAATTGACAGAAAAAATGTTATCAAAGATTTGGGAGTAACATTTGAGGAAAAATAAAAAATTTAATTGTCACTACAGTGAAATAGTCAACAAGGCTTACCGTGCTGGGTTTTGTAACAAGGAATAGTGGAAATTCCAATATTAGTACAATCATTAAACTCTATAACGCCCTTGTGAGATCACATACGGAATATGCCTCAAACATCTGGTCACCTTTAGCAACGTCACACTCGGACTTAATCGAAAAGGTTCAAAAACGCTTTCTGAGATTTTTGTATCTCAGGAAAAACGGGGAATACCCGTACATGGTATCATACAGGGCAATGTTGAAAACATTCGAGTTTCAGTTGTGCACTAGAAGACATAATCAGGCAGTAATGCTAAATACAGGAACTGTGATCTGATTGAATATATTTTCTTTAAGGTGCCAAAGACTAGATTAAGAATAACCAATAAAGACTTATTTTATGTAAATAATTGTAATACCACATCCCAATGAATAATATGCTAAGAAGTTGTAATAGCGTCTCAAGTGTCTTGGGGAATG